ATATGAGTGAGAGAACCCAGTGGGCGTGGTTCCATTAAATTAGTGCATATGAGTGAGAGAACCCAGTGGGCGTGGTTCCATTAAATTAGTGCATATGAGTGAGAGAACCCAGTGGGCGTGGTTCCATTAACTTAAGGCTCTGCACACAGACCGGGAGAAGGCGACCTGAAACCAGGATAGTCGTGTATCACCTTGGCTGCCACCACGTTGTTGTTGTTCTTCAGGCCTGCTTGCAAGGCTGCAAAGTCCACCACTCTCCCCACGGTCCACTTAGAGCAGAAGAACATGGGTGAGCTGGTCTCCCTGGAGCCTTTGGGCAGAAAGACTTGGAAGTACGTTCTTTCTGTCTGCGGGTCAAGAAGAACGCAGCTGCATGAGTGAAGATGATAAGCTGAACGATGAGACTACAAATTCCCCTTCGGCTACGATCTTAAGTGATGTCCTGCGCGCTATCAGGAAGTGACAGGCCATGTAGTTGGCTCCGCCCCCTTCTCCACCCAGATGTGCCCGCAGGTACCTGTGGCAGCCCCTTGTCCCCAACAGCATGGAGCTTCAGCTTCATGAGTGCCACCTTGGCCGCCGTGGCGCTGTTCTTCGCGCCCTTCCGTCCTTTGCTGGTGGACGATGCTGCCTTTGACTCTTCAATGGATGGAGGGACAAATTAAAAAATAAAAAAGAATCTCTCTCATTCAAAACGCTCTAGTGCAATTCTACAGAGCCCCTGCAAAAAATTATGCTCGTCGCATGCGCACCTGATTATTTCACATGGGCACCGGATATTTTTGCATGCCCACCTGAAATTTTCACGTGGCCAGTTCGCTCTAGCCATCACTTCCAGTACCCAGTGGGACATAAACCTGACATTTTTATTAATAATTCCACTGTGTCCATTCACTACCAATGACTGTAAGTGAGCAACAGCAATTTAGTTTTATAGTAGTTAGCCGATGATTTCAGTTGCATTTGTATAAATGAATGCATACAATCAATACAGAAATGGATGGGTAGCTTGAACTTAGGTGTAGATATGAGGTCATGCAGGATAAAGTAAGAGGATGGATTTCACTCTTAATGTATCCCCCCCCCCGAAATATCAAAAATATAGTGATGCCCTTGGGCATTCCATCCAATACCGCTACCGATTTGATCCAAGGTTGCTATACTGATCCTTATATTCACAGTGCCGGCCTGAGAAAACTTGATAGGGGGGGGTGCACTATTGAGTCACTCATTCCATTACCCTAATGTTTGAATGTTTGAGCCCCTTCTCCTACCTCCCCCCTTATTGGCAGCAAAAGTTCATTTCCTGCTCCCTATAATAATATAAACATTTAAATTACCAGGTTAAAAATATTCTTTTAACATTAGAATAGTTTCTCAAATTGAAACATTCAGGTCAAAAGCACCAATATTTCAGTGTCAATCTGCCCATCGACACTGCGGTAAAGTTAGCTATATATTCTGTTTTATGGCTGTAATATCTTACAACAAAAATCAAACAACACCCCTTAGGTTTTTTCAAGATTTCTTTACAGCCAAATTGAAATATTTCAGTGTTTACTGTTGCGCTTCAAACTTATGCAATTATTAATAAATACGTATAAAGCTACATAATCTGACAAGAACTAAGGGTTGAACATAGGGACTAAGCTATAAATAGTTGTCGCTCACTTACAGTCAATGGTAGTGAATGGACACAGGTTTATGTCCCACTAGGTACCGGAAGTGACGGCTAGAGTGAACTGGCCACGTGAAAGTTTCAGGTGAGCACGAGAAGATATGAACATTTGAATTTTTGCACAGGTACCTTCAGAGACTCCGTACAATCCAGTGCTGCACTGCCCTCGCGTGGCCACATGGAAAAATTACACCAGAGTCAGAATCTGCGGTGTGACCCACCTACAATTTTTTTCACAAGTTCCTGGGTAGCTGCCATACGTGGCCCAGATGTTTCTAGCCTCACACATTTGTGGTCATCTTGATGTCGATGCCTGTTAGCAGAATAAAGTAATACATTTAAATAGATTCCAACATCGATTCCATTTCACACCAGTGTTTGGAGAGTCGTGGGATACGTACGCAAGGCAAAAGTGCTTCTGACAGTGTGCACACACAACCGGCACTAGCTCCTTCCCACTGCAGTTTGCGAAATCACAATGGTAGGATATACTGCCACCAGAAGGGGGCGCCTCCTTCACTGCTGGGATCTGAACAAAGAGGAGAAAAAAGAGCCACCTGAACGGCTGAACCCTGGGGGGCGCTGCTGTTTCTTTTATGAGAGAATTATGATGGATTTGCTCATTTAAATCTGAATCAATAATTTTGTGTTTAAAGACTGCTCTGAGGTGTTTTTGCAATAACAATGATACAGGCAACATATAGGAAAATAATACGGTCATGTGCTAAAGTAATGTATTATTATGGAGACTGGTCACGAATAACATCACAATCGTGTACTGAACAATAGGGACGACAGGTGGATGTTATTAATTATTGGCTAAATGATCCAAAACAGATTTGAAACAGAGTAATACAACCTATGTTGTTTAGTGGTGGAGTAGGGGCGGCACAGGGTAGACTACAGTCTCACACCCCTGTAGACAGGGTTCGAGTCTCTGCCTGTGTTTAGGTTGCATATTCTGGATGTATTCCGCCTACTCCCCCGTCCAAAAACATATCCAGTACTACTCTGTAAGGTCAGCCTGATCGGATGTGGATTGGGGAACAACTGAAAAATATTATCGCAAGAGGTCAACCTGGGCACACTAATGGGTGTCATGTCAATAGAGACGGGACATAACCGCGGGACACTGGCTGCCTGCAACGCTGCCCCCTGGAATCGTGAAAGGCGTCCAGCGCTGCCGGTACCTCCGTACAAGAATGAGACCCGCGGCTCCTGTGCTCCACGCTTTAATATAAAACGGAAAGAAAGTGTAAAGGCGACGCGTTTTCATAACGATGCTGATCTCCCGGCTGTCGCGACACCACAAACATGGTGATAAGTTGCACTTACCAAAAAACGCCTGAACATGCATCGCACACAAATGGCAGAAAATCTATCAGGAAAGAAAAAACAGATGCGTACGATATGAAGAAAGTTGCGTTAAAAAGAAACCGCCACAATAATGGGTAATCACATATAGCTTAGAATAGAAAAAATGAAGTTAAGTACAGTACCCGAATCAATCAAAGGCTCTTATGACATTGTTCGTACAAGACACTGAATGGACTGATTGCGGCCTGTAGCTCGCTGCGGAATAAAGCGTCTGTATTCAGCCGTAATAACTCGACTTAATATAATACAAGATATCTGCAGTCACTCGTCCACTATATAGCGGTACAATAAAGTTAATGACTGACCCCAGGACAGTGTGGCTAGATGGCAGGACTACCAAAGCAGTCTCTATGAACACTAGTGTAAAAGGCAATCTGTAAGCATGGGAGGGCTTAAACATGGGATAGACTTCTGCTTATTTCCATTTTGAGTTTTAATATCCCACGTCCAACAGTATAAATCCACGTGAATGAGAACACACACATGTATGTCTTCACCATTATTTGCCGATGCGGGCAGGTTTAACCAGTTAACCGTGTTTCTATCTGGGCAGTCAGGAATAGGGCCGTGACAACAAGATCGGAAGACGCGGATTAATTAAATAGCGACGTGTGAATATTTTGAACAATCAGATTAAACCGTATCCTCACCTTTCTGGCTACAGGTTTCAACCTGACAGTGCTCACCGATATCCACCTCGGCCATTTTGCCCTGACGTCATCATTTTTTCAAATGTGTCCCGCCCCCTAATGGTTGGGCAGTGTCACGTGAGGCTCAGACTCCACCCCCGAGATCGGGGGTGTTATTGCAGGAAATTCCACAGTAATAGCGCAGCCGGGGAAAAGATACTGATGAGAAAGTTGCTCAATTGTGCGTTTTTGAAACTCCCATCTCCCATCTGTGTTAGTTTTAATGTCGCTTTACGGCAAATTTCTTGATGCTCGTGTGTGTCCGTGCACAAATAAAAAAATACTTTTTTTGTGTTAGAAAAACTGATCCGGTTAAAAAAAAATACATTAGAAACGGTGCTCTAAATCTATCTTAAATAGCCTACTCAAAGCGATGCCGGTATCAAGATATGACCAAACCCTTGGGGGAGAGTTCTGTTATCTGGGTTAATTTAAGTTGGAAGTCACGATTGTCCAATAGGAATGCTCCTTACCTAAACTCTTATTGGACAATCATGACTTCTATCTTAAATTAATACAGCTAATTGAAAAATACTGCTTTGGGGAATACCCCTCGGGTCTCCAAATTCAAAGGACTCCTAATACAACCGATTCATAAATAAAATAAGTATAGATTTTGTTTTTCTATTAGACAGGCCTATCGCATAACCATTTACTGTAGATTTTAGTATTTTAGTTTTAAATTGGTTATTTAAAGTTAGGCATATACCTTTTGACCTTCCAGCCATCTGTCTACAGAATCGCGATTAATGTGCATTAATGTGGATATGTTCACGCACACACACACACAAAACCTGTAATTATTATCTACGTGTTTACTCAAAGTGTGTTGTTTTTACAGTCGGTTTGGTGTCTCGTAGCAGTTCAACAATTTATGGCAAACAAGCTTAAGAGCAAAACTTAATTAGCCACCCAAATAATTGTACAATTGTACGTTTTCAGCGTGGAGGTCATTTTCATAGGCTTGACTCTGTTTACATCCACGCTTCGCTCATTCCCTCCTTCCAGGCGTCAAGTTTCAGGAAGTCACAGGTGTGTACTTATGGTCTGAAACCAGTGCTTGGGGTACTGGAACAGCAACTATTCTGGTCGCCACATTTCACCCGTTTTCAGCGCAAACGCGACGATAATTAAATTTAAAAATGAGTAAAATATCGAAGATGTTCAAAGGCGGCTCCTCAAAGCCCAAGAACGTTGCTTCTCCTCAGGAAGCTATCCATAGGCTGAGGGAGACGGAGGAGATGTTAACCAAAAAGCAGGAGTACCTGGAGAAGAAAATCGAGCAAGAAATTGCCATCGCCAAAAAGAATGGGACCAAAAATAAAAGAGGTATGCGACGTATTGAAGAACGGTAACATTGCAAAGAGCAAAAATACGTGGTATCTCGCACGTATAAATGTTTCCTTACCCACCAGGCCTTAGTTATTTTTCCGATTGTGGAACTGGTCGGGGAAAAGCGGGATAAAATGTGGCTTAGTTGCGCAGCATTAATAGAATGGTCGGTATGTTGTGGAGTCTAACTCTTTGTGAAGAAACAAGAACAAAGAAATCAGATATCATTCTGAGCCTAACAAGCAAAGGTTTGCACAAACATGAAACTTCTAGTTTCACAACAATGCACTCATTCGGTGTGTAGTTCACCGAAAAAAGAAAACAAATAGGAAGCGATGTACGTTAATATGCGCGTAGCACGGTTTAATGTTATAGGCTTTGCAATTGTAAACAAGACTTTAAAAACGTTTTTGTTAAAAACTCCTCACTTCTCGGTTTCATTTGAGATGTGTTTGCTATATTCGGTATATGCTTGAAGCTTGTGGCTCAGAAAAAAACTTAGTACTCGTTTGTTTTACGAATACAGCAATTTAAGGAATGTATTTTACAATAGGGCTAAAACAGCAGAGTTGCCAAACTTGAATGGTGAGAGTATCGTAGCAGAAGATGAGGCTCTGAATCACCATGTCGCCCTACAAAAAGTCACACTGGAATACAGCCGCACAAAGCCGGGTTTGGCCTGCGTCTGTACTGGGAACGCCTAACTATACAATCAAAATAGGTGGTTATGCTGCTTAAAATCAGCGTGTTGCTAGACTTTACTAATTAGTTCTAATTTTGATGATGGCTTATGCGAAATAACACTTTTGAGATGCCTTTGCACGGTTTTGTTTATTCTTAAGTGGGAACTAAAGGTGTAACTGCCGTTTTCTTTTAGGGTGTCTAATTAGACCAATTATTTAGCATCAGTTTCTAAATTAGGAACTTATTTGTTTTAAATTTCAGTCCCAGTACATTAAACAAACTTTATCAGTACTATGCTGGGTAAAGATTCCCAGGTTGACCTGATTTTCCTAAGCATTTTTGTTCATGTCACAGTGTCAGTAACACATGCTCTCTCTATCATAAGCCAGATGAAACCATCACAGTATTTCACAGTGAATGGCCTTGGATTACCACAGATGTTGGTCATCCATGTTTTCCTCTTCAACCACTTTATCTGTGCTAGTTTTGATAGGGAATTCACAGTGTCCTTAGTTAAAGTCTTGTGTATATTAGACTTGTATTTATCACAAAGGACATATTTCATATGTAGTAGAGTAATCCTGTCAGTGTTGGGCCCATAAACAACACCCGTAATCCCAGTAGTGGCAGGGACACTGGAAGCTGTAATCCCAGTAGTGGCAGGGACACTGGAAGCTGNCACTGGAAGCTGTAATCCCAGTAGTGGCAGGGACACTGGAAGCTGGTTGACTCTGCACTCTGACCCCAAAACGAGCTTTCAAATGCAATAAATGAAAACTAGCCTGTTTCCCCACAGGGATGAATAACTTGTGTATCATTATTTTATTGTTTTATTTTCTGTAAAGGGTTTATCATACAGTCTATCGACTTCCTTCCTGATTTGTCATGTTAAACAGTCGCTGGTCTTCAATAGCGAATCAGGGCAAGACCAAAACATGGAAACACTGTGAGGAGAACCTTAAAAGCTGAATATTCCAAGAGCTGAATACACCCAATCCCTCCCCCAGCTGCCCTCCAGGCCCTCAAGAGAAAGAAGCGTCTGGAGCAGCATCTGACGAAGATTGACGGCACACTGTCCACCATTGAGTTTCAGCGGGAGGCGCTGGAGAACGCCAACACCAACACAGAGGTGCTGAAGAACATGGGATACGCTGCCAAGGCCATGAAGGGCATTCATCAGAACATGTGAGTGGTCCGGGCTGGAGGACGTGGCAGCTCTTCTGGATCCAAACGCCCATTAGGACAGTGTTTCTCAACCCAGCCCTCAGAAACCCCCAGACTGTCCACATTGTTGCTCCCTAAAAGCTCTCAGCCAATCAAGGACTGTGGGACTGGGTTGAGAAACTCTGCATTAAAAGACCATGGCTGTAGACCCATGGAATAATGAGACATAATTAGCAGCATTAGCATCTCCATGAACCGAATGATTGTTCTGCTTACACTGATGGCCTTCTGAGTTTGCACTCAGCCAAAACCTTTCGGCCGTCTGCTCCAGGGACCTGGAGAAGATCGATTCGCTGATGCAAGACATCACAGAGCAGCAGGAGGTAGCAGAGGAGATAAGCAACGCCATCACACAGCCATTCGGGGAGGATTTTGATGAGGTGAACCAGTTTGTCATGAAGCACCTTCTGCTGCATCTGTAAATCCCCTGTGAGATGTGCTGAAACCGTCTAGATCGTAAGCAGTTTTGCACCCAAGACTTACATCTTCCATCGCTGGTGGTTTTCAGGACGAGCTTCTTGCTGAGCTAGAGCAGCTGCAGCAGGAGGACATGGAGGAGAGCATGAAGAGCATGGGCAAGCTGCCCAGCGTGCCTGCCACCTCTCTGCCCGCACTGCCGAAGCAGAAGACAGGTGAGCGTCCAAGGAGAAGCACCTACCAGCATCTCAGACACACTTCAAGGTCCGAGATGTATTGTCATAAGTATTAAGCACAGGATGCACTAAAATACAATGAAATTCTCCCTGGTGTGTCTCCTCGCAGCCTGACACTTACGTGATACTAAATGTACACGATAAACAAGATAAACATAAATACAAAGTAAATAGCCAAGTAAAAGCGCCAGCAGTATGATATGTAGCACAAATAGGGTGTAGTAATAGGATGATGTAAATAACAAGGTCGACACTCCTATACACCGTAGGTGTGAGAGAACCTCAGGAAGCTCACAGCTTCGTAGTGGAAGGAAACAGTTAATTAACTAGTCCCTTTATTATTAATTAAAAAGTGTGAATATTTGAGTATATTGAGAGATTAAGATCTTACATTTTGACTGTAAGTTAGCCCAATATAGTCTGATTTTCTACCAAGTATAATCTTAATCAGTTTCTCCAGCCAGTCACTGCTACATCTTCCAGCAGTCACTGCTGATGGTCCTGACTTTCGAGCTCCCTGAAATGAGAAGGGTCTAAGTGCCCCAGGGGATCCCTCTTCTGAAATAAGTAGCCGGCCTCATTACCGTCCAGGAAGGTTCGGCCAGCAGCACACAGACATGTGTAAACCACACGCGTGGGTTCGGGTGACAGTCAGCTTCAGCCGTGGACTAAAGACACCATTGTATTGTGTTGTCCTTGTTTCACAGCCACCAAGACGAAGAAGAAGGTCGAGGATGATGACGATATGGAGGCACTGGCTTCCTGGGCAACATAACATGTTTATATTCGTAGACATACGTGTACACAGGCCATGACGGTGCAGTTTGTCAGGCAGTAACTGCCGAACTGACACGTTCGTGTTTTGTGTGTTTTTTTAATTATTTGTAAAGTCTATATTTATAAATGGTCTTAAAGAGAGCATACAAAGACCCACATCCTTCCTTTATCGGCTCTTTTAGTGCTGATTCACAGTCGGAGTGGATTTCCTGCAGTGATTACAATCTCGTTGATCGTCTGTGGTGATGTAGCAGACTGTACATGCAATTGTAATGTTTTCATCCTCAGTTTTTTAGTTTGTCACTACAGCTTAGGAAGCTTTTTTGATCTATACCATGTATGTTATTGAAGTAAATTGTAGATTTTGGGTAGTCTACTTATTTTGATGAATGACCAGCTTTTAAAGTAATCAGCCTGTGAATGTGCATCTGAATATCAGTACATTTTAACTTTAGTACTGTAGCATCTTCCTGCCAAAATGCTGTCACACTCTGTATAAAGCCTCTAAGCGAGCGAGTTCCCTTAAGTGGGTACAGATGATCGAGGTGCCAGATGACCACAGTGTTTCTTGTATCTTTTTGAATATACTTTTTACCTGCTGTGGGATCGTCTGGAGCCTTTCTTGGGTAGCATAGGGAAGAAGGCTGGGCTTCACCCTGGCGGGTTGTGGCAGACGTACTAAACTATACTCTATGGGCTATTTAGGGACACCAGTTGGTCCAAATGTGTCTCTTTGGACAGAGGCAGGAAACCCATGTAACTCATGCGGACAGCACGCATTGAGCTTTGGCGCTAACATTGGGGCTGCATTGGGATGCATGTGGACACCACTGTGGGGGGGGGGGAATGACAGAAATCATCCCCTTTATAAACCTGCCACTCCATTCCCATACATTGTTCTGTGTAAGTGTTAGTCACAGAAAGGTAAATATACCTGTTTTTTCAGGGGTACTCAACTGGCGGACTCCAGAACAAAACTATTTAATCTGGGCAATCGTTCCCCCCCCAGCAAATTTTGTCATCGGGGACCCCCTGCACCCCCTGCGCCCTATCCATCCACCTTAAACTATTTTTTTTTCTTTGACCGCTGGCTGTCATGCTAACATACCGATGTATAGCAAGAGAATTTCTTATTGTAAACAGTGAAGCCCCAAATCGTCATGGTCTGCTTATTCATTGTTTTACATAATGTAAATGAAGCTTTGGTGTGAGGTATTGTTTGACTGTGTCTGGTATATCCTGTCAAAAAAAGATGATTTAGACAACTCCTCTTGACATATTAAACAATTTTGCTACTACATTTTATCATCTGTTAGCTTTTTGGGGCTGTGTTAGTAACCCCATCTTCTGTTATGATGTCATATACACCGAAAAGCCAAAACATGATGGCCACCTGCCCATTATGCTGTTGGTCTTCTGTGTGCCACCAAAACAGCTGTGACCCACAGACGCATGGGTTCAAGTGGACCTCTGAAGGTGTCCTGTGGTATTTGGCACCATGAGGTCAGCAGGAGATCCTTTAAGACCTCTAAGATGCGTGGTGGAGCCGCTGCAGATTGGGCTTGCTGTTCCAGCACCTCCCAGAGATGCGCTATAGCAGGGGTCACCAACCTTTTTGAAACTGAGGGCTACTTCACGGGTACTGAGCCATACGAAGGGCTACCAGCCTTCCTAAACTTATCTAAACTTAAATGCTTTTTTTTAGTTTTTTTTTTTAGATATTGTCATTTTCAAATCTATATAAATGCAACTGTGATTAAAGAAGAATAGCAACAGGATAAAATAAAATTTTAGATGCTGCTCACTGGTGAGTTGTGCTATCATCGCATGTTGCTCTTCCATTTTTGTCTAGACTTCCAAAATGGCAACCCTCTCACAGCAATACATACACACTGACGTCATCATTCTACCCTTTGGCACCTAGGTCTACTAGGTCTATCCAGCATCTTCCTCCACCATCGGATCCAACTCACCACCAGGTAATGACCAGTTGACAGCTCAGCTCCTCTCTTGTCCAAAACATTCAGATGCACATCCAATGATACAATTACAAAATCGATCATCGAACTGTGGCATTGGATGCTCTGGTGCCAAGTGCACTTATGAACACCCTTATTTTCAAATGTAGTGTTCTTTATGGACAAACTGGTTAGCACAGAAGTCCAATAACTGATCACCTTCCAGGTTTCACTTTCATTACCCACGTAAGTATTTACGTCCCCTAGCAGAGCAATGGAGTCTTCACAAGGGTCACCTTCCAGCACCCCCTCCAAGCTCTTCAAGAAGGCCGGATACTCTGGACTGGTCTTTGGCCCTCATGTAGAACCACATGTAGTCTGGCTGCTCACCTAGGAACAATTTGCCTTGGGAATCCCTACCAGGGGCAATTGCCCCCGACAACATAACTCCTAGGATCATAAAAACACGTAACACCTCCAACTCAATAAGGTGGTGATTCAAGAGGTGGGTAATTCAGGTCCAAAGAGTAAAAGTCCAGAACAAGATTTTGTTTCAACCAGCCAGTTGAGTATTATGTGACTGCGACTCTTTATACTCAACTGATTGGTTGAAACAAAATCTTGGTCTGGACTTTTACTCTCTGTACCTGAACTATACACCTTTAACTGAAGGGTTCTTGCAGGGTTTGAGGGGAGTAGAGCCAGTCTTTGAGGTTGGCAGTGTTAGTCCTTGGGGGGCATCACGGCCGTTGCTGAACCTTGGGGGACAGTACTGGCTCAGATGTACCTCTTGCCACATGGGAGCAGGACAAGGAGTCCATGGGAATGATGGGAGGGGCTTCCCACAATGATAGAGGCTTTGCAGGTGCAATGTTTCTGGAAAATGTCCTTAATGCAGGGGAAGAGGTTCTGATGATAGTTTTTCTGCTGTATACAGAATCTGCTGCAGGGACTTTGCAGTTCCTAAACCAGACAGTGATGCAGCTGGTCAGAACATTCTCTATGGTGCCCCTGTAGAACATGGTGAGGATGGGGTGTGGAAGTCTTGCACACCACAACTACTTTAGGAGGTGGAGATGCTGCTGTGACTTGGGTAGTGGTGTTGATAGCAGATACACTGCTGGTCGGTACGGCAGTAGACCTCCAGGGGTTTGTCACGGTGGGAACAGACCTTGTCCTGCAGATGTCCAGTGGCATCAGTCAGCTTGTGCTTCTTAAAAGCTGGAAACTCATAGTGAGGCTGGAGGTGAGTTTCACAGTAAGAGGCCAGACACACCAGGCAGGACTTGACAGCTTTGTGTTTTCTCCCAGTACAGGCGTCACACTCCATATCTCCAGGTCCAGCATAATGGTCAGCAGGAGTAGCTGCTTATATTCCTGACTTCCTCAGCTTCTCCACTGCTTCAGCCTTTTCCAGGCAGGTTTATTACAGCTCTGATTGTTTTGAACTTCATAATTGGATATAGGCATTTTCAGGTATGGAACTATTCTAAAGTCATTTTATAACCTGTCACTGTTGTCTCATTTCATTTCTCTGTTCTGTACTCTCATGGCTAAAGGCTAAATTTACAGGTTATTAGGTTTACAGTCCGCAGATCCAGAGGAAGATACATTCAACACATGCTGACTATTAAACCTCCATCCATGCTTGATAACCACTTTGTACAGTGCAGGGAGGCTTTCCCAGGAAGTACAGGGTACAGTTAAATCTATAGGCTTATAATTGCAAAATGGAGAATGATGAGTCAGAAAACGTAAACTGCTGAAAAGCTATAGTTTATTAATTCATTGTTTTTCAAAATTCTGAGTAGAATACATAATTGATTTAAAAACATCAGGATTATTCAATCAAAACAATCATCATTCTTTTTCCATGCAGGTTATTATTGCTGAATTTATACTAATTTAAAACTCTATAAATCACTGTATGATTTAATATTTCATAATTTGACAAAATCATTTTCATTTGAAGGAAGGAAGTATTATTTTAAACAATTTCTGACCATAACCTCTTCTTATTATTTAAAAAAGTCAAACCAATAGAATAGAATAGAATAGAGTAGAATAGAATAGAATAGAATAGTAATAGGCTATTCCCCCCCATAGGGAAATTGTCTTTTCTCCTGCCCTATCTTGCTCTCCTTGACACAATCAGACTGTCAGGATCAGTCCCTGCCTTGTCTGTTCTTTCTCTCTTTGGCTAGCGGCTGCTTCCCTACTGTCATGGGTTTAAAAATCTCTTTGTTATGTTCAAGTATTTGCTGCATTGTTTCTGGTTTTCGTGCTTTTGTTCTTAATGATCCCTGCTTGTATCTAGTTCTGTAGTTATGTCTTGTCACCTTTGTTCCCAGTATCTCCTGTGTAGCCCAAGTCCCTAGTGATCAGTTGAGTAATAATGACCCTCATCTGTTCCTTGTAGCTCCAAGTCTGTAGTCTTTGGTTGACTGTAATGAGTTGCACCTGTTTAGCCACACTGTGGATGGTCATTTACCATGGCCAGGCATGACAGAGACAGATATACAAACGAGAGCAAGCCCGGGGCGGTCATCGCACAGGGTCCTAAAATATTACATAATAACTGGAGTGGAAATGTCTTAATTTTTATCTTGGTTTTATTTACACCTGTAAATAACCCAGATGTATACTTTATAAGAAATCTGTATACCTGTATTTTTTAATATTCATTTTTATCTTTGTCATTTCCACCTTTCCACATGAAAGGCCAGGAGGCAGCGGGAGAGAGAAAGAGAAGCTTCTCTAGCAGAAGAAAACGAAAGACAATAAAACACACTCCACCTCATACAGGGAGAGAGAAGCGTGTGTGTGAACAGACTCACATTGTAAGAGTTCTGCTCTGGTCCTGGGCACTAATGGCGGTAGGATGGTGTCTTTGGTAACTAGAAGGAGTCCGATCTGCCCCCACTATTGAATGTTTTAAGTCGAAGCTGAAAACTCATTTATTTGCTGAGACATTTTAGACAGATGTGTTTTTCGTTACAATTTTTGTAACTGTAATGTTCGTTTTACTTTGTTTTATTTATGTTTTAAGCCATTTGCTTTTCCCCTCGCTTTTTATGCAATCAATTTTATTGTTGTAAAGCACTTTGATCAATCACTGGTTGTTTTTAACCGTGCAATATAAACAGAAATGACTTGACTTTTACTAGAAATATTAAATACACCAAATTTAAAGTGACATGTTTCTTTGTTGCTCTTTGCTGGGATCTGGGGCCTGTACTACGAAGCGGGGTTACTGGCTTATCGGGGTAACTTGTTAGATTTAAGGTAGTCTGGGCAAAATGTTAGTGAATGAATATGAAGTCCATTTAAACTGTGGTACCTTAAATCCGACAAGTTACCCCGATAAGCCAGTAACCCTTCTTTGTAGTACAGGCCACTGATGATACTTAGCTGTTCATTTGTATCGCCCAGTTTAACTGGAGTTCCTATTAACCTGTAAACATATGGCAAACTATGCAGTATTAGGAACCTGTGTCTAGTGTAATAATTTAATGAAAATCCAGGATTGAGAATCTCAGTAAATGTGGTCTGGACTCTGTGCCTGGGCAAATAATAATAATAATAATAATAATAATAATAATAATAATAATAATAAAATAATAATAATAATATTGTATATAGGGTGGCATGGTGTTTCAGTTGGCCGCACAGTGGCTTCACACCCCCCGGACTGTGGGTTTGACTCCCACCCTAGGCTCTGTGTGTGTGGAGTTTGCATGCTCTGCCCCGTGTCTGTATGGGTGTCCTCCAGGTGAACTGGTGTCTGTATGGGTGTGTTCTAGGTGAACTGGCGTCTGCATGGGTGTCCTCCAGGTGAACTGGTGTCTGTATCTTGTCCCCAGTGTGTGATGTTGTGTGAATGGTTACTCTGTGATGGACTGGTTGGACCTGAGAACATAGCAGTCTTTTGACTGTCACATGACCTTTTCTCTGTAGCAAAGTCTGGAATTCATCTTTTTATTTTGTACCGAAGTTAAAGTTTTAGTAAAGATTAAGAAATCTCATAACTGGGATAACATAGAGGTCCGTCCTGAATTTCACAGTTGACAGCGGACAGGTCACAAACCGTTGTCATAGTTTCCAGTATTAATTATTTTTTTAGATACATTTAATAGCCTTATAACAAAGTCATCACAATCTGGCTTCACTGTTGTAAAGAACAACCCCAGGATAGATGGGCTCAGTGAATGTGGTCTGGACCCTGTGCAGGAGGGTCACTGTGTCAGAGACGGCGTAGAAGGACAGAGTTCCTGCCCCGTGATCCAGGTACACTCCTATCCTGGGGGAGGGGGGGCCAGATACTACAGTTTTCACAGCATTATGCCAGAATGAGTAACTGAAGGCTGAGCAGGACAAACACCAGGACTTGTCATTGTATCCAAGCCTGCTGGCCACACCCGCTACTTTCCGGTTGATTCCTTTGTATGTGACGGCTATACCGATCACAGTCCCACTCCACTGAACCTCCCAGTAGCAGCGCCCAGTCAGATTCTCTCTACACAGCACTTGGCAGGTTAAGTCAAACCTCTCCTGGTGATCAGGATGTGACTGTGTCTCTCTCTTCCATGTCACCACTCTGTTATCTTCAGACAGACAGAGCTGTTTGTTTGCTGTGTTGGGGTCCAGACTGAGCCAACAGGAATCTGATGAAGAGAAAGTGATGTTTTGCTCTCATTCACTCATTATATAAAAAATGAGTGTGCACTTTTTAAAAATCATTTTTATTGTTTTGAGACTTAGAGTTCATTTATTTGTTATTTAAATTGTTTTAATTTTATTTAAAGATTTTAATGTGTTTGATTTTTGGAAAATCCAATTTAGAAGGTTATATTTGTTTATATCATCACTGAAAATTCCTGTAATAAATGTTTACCTGTTTATTTTCATGTGGAAATATTCTCCATACAGTTACCTCAGAGAACAATATGATAAGCAAAATGCACTGCAAGCAGATTCAAAAGCTCCTGACATAAACAGCTCATGTAAATGTGAGAGGGCAGGAGGCAGCGGGAGAGAGAAAGAGAAGCTCATCTCGCAGAAGAAAACGAAAGACAAAAAAACACACTCCACCTCATACAGGGAGAGAGGAGCGTGTGTGTGAACAGACTCACATTGTAAGAATTCTGCTCTGGTCCTGGGCACTAATGGCGGTAGGAGGGTGTCTTTGGTATCTAGAAGGAGACAGAGAGAAACAGGGAAGGAATTTACTTGTGGGAGATGGACTTCACTCACTGTGGAGACAACATCAGTAGGGTATTATGATTATGAGGGACAATAACAGGCAATTTCACAAACTGCAAATCATTGTAAGTTACACTTAATACAGGTTTTTGGATACTATAATGTAGAAGAAACATGATATATGTGATCTGGGTTTTGCAGCTTGTAGAATGTGGTTCACCAGTCTTCACAAGGATTTAAACTTATTTTAAACTGAATCTGACTTAATAAAATGTGAGGCTGTACTGCCTGCTCTCTCTGTATCTGTACTGAACATGAACAGGCTGGTAAATGCATATATTTACTAACCTGTACAAGCATTTTCCAGTTGATCCTTCATATCTGAAACCACTTTCCTTGCCTTCCAAAAATAGCAGGGTAGAAAAGAAGAGAATCTGCGTCCAATCAGTACTTCAGGGACGACAGGAATACCCTGGAACCTCTACAGACACACAATGTACAATGTGTATCGTCATCAAAATAAAAGCCACTAATTTCTAACAGACTAAAATCAAATTGAATAAACACAAATGAAACATATCCATCTAAAACTTTGAATTTTACATGTATTTCTTTAGCATGTGCTGTTTACAAAGCAGTATCCACATGAGAAAAGCTTGGGGTCAGACTGTCCCCGGAGCAGCTGGGGTCTTGAACAGGGAACCAGCAGTGATATGATGACTCTGTCAGCCAGGGGACCTGAAGCCATGACCTTCTGGAAACAGGCAGGGATTTCTAACCAGCTGAGCTACAACACCCCCTACCCCACCACCACTCCAAATTTCAGCCCTCTAGCTTGCAGGGCTCAGGGTTGAGGAGCCTTGATGTGCTCTTCAGCCCTAGAGTTGACCATCCCCTCAGTCAGTGCGGCCACTCACCAAAAAACCTGCTGGTTTGATATGAAGAAGGCATAATTTTAATGGACGTATAGAGGGAATTGAAGAGCAGACTATCTAGTTTCGGAGACATTTGGAGGCATCTTCCTATGGAATCAGATTTGTGGCAATATTATCAAGCAAATCTTTTTCGACATCAAGCAAAAACAAGGCTTCGAGAAGAAAAACTGAAGCAAAAGAAATGTCATCTCAAAAGTAAATTTTTTAAAAAAGTTTTGCTTTATAATATTGGCACAAATCGGATTCCATATCTTCCTACGTCAATCCTACACGGAGTTACGGACTGTCAAATGACAGGTGGGGTTCGTTCTTAAATTGACTTCCGACTCGACTTGCCTCTCGTTATTTTTTTACTTGGACTTGAGTCGTTGATAGCGACTGGTGAACAATAAGAGTCTATAAGGTTCTGTTGAAATTTCTTCACATGCAAAGCATTGAGTGTACAGCACTGGCCAAACCGTAAAGGTGTTAAACACATCACGATGTGTGGCTGTGCTCAGGGCATAGGAACTGGAGCCGGAGAAACGTGACGCCGGGCGGTATCAACAAACAACACGTGTTTGTTTTGCCACTAGTTCGAATTGCAGACTCGATATGACAAAGAGCGGGATATTCCTATTGTTATTCACAGTGTTATTTTACATTAAATTGCACCGCTTAGAGATAGACGTAGGCCTAGCTTCTGTGTCGTAAATTATATATAGCCTAGTCTACATCGTGTTGTTATACAGTGACACCGATCGGCATGGATTGCCCTGAATCTGAGAATTTAGCAGGTACGTCCCTAAAACATAATATAACAGGTATATCCCAAAAACGTTTCTGACATCATTACAAGTCAAGCTGTATTTTCTTCCAACTTAAACGATCCTGCGCCTTTTCATTGTGCCCTCGTACGGCGCGCAGCGTTATGTCTTAAATTATTCGGACTTCCATCATAAATTAAAAACATAATGCCGGCAAATAATTGGATCGAACACGACGAACAGTAATATCACTGACCGCTCTTCTGTGACTAAAGGAGCAGCATGACTGCACACATTAAAATTTCTTTTTAACATAGAGTTCGCGGTGTTACTTGCATAATCATTTATTTACTTGCACACATGAGCTGAGAGACAAATCAGTTTTATTCATTAACTGGAGTCTTAATTTTAAAACAATGGGTAAAAATGAAAATCGCGGTTTACTTTAACGTGCTTTTACATTAACAGGCCGACAAATGGGGTCTGGATTATACTCATTCATTAGCCGATCACATCACTTTACCATGGCTGAGGGCGGAGTCCGGCTTGGTTTGGTCTGGCTGCCTCATACATAGGAAGCTTCTTTTCTGTTAATCCTATCGGGAAAAGTTTCAGTTGTGTGTGTGTGTGTGTGTGTGTGTGTACATAGCTTATTGTTGTTGCCAAGTTTGGACACTCTTTGGGCTATGTCTGTAACTGTTCACACTAATTAAAGTTTACTTGTTCTGCTCAAGAGATGTCTTCATCATAATGTTATTTTTGAGACAGTATTAGTTTTAAAATGTACATTGATAAGTATAAAAATGTTATTGCTACAAAGCCATTTGAAATAGTGATTTCTCTGAAAATGTATATAAGCCTAAGGAACTATGAGACAAGAAGTTTTTGAGCTGTTCAAGTGGTGATTCCGCTTTAGTCACATCAGTTAGTAATAGAAAAAAAATCAAATAGATGTTTACATTTTTGATAAATAGTAATGTGACATTGGAACCACATTGGAGACTTGATTCGGACTCTAAGTCAGAAACTTAGACAGAGACTTGACTCTCCATTTTTGTGACTTGCGAACATCTCTGCTTCAGAATATTTGATCTTTTGTTTAGTTTCACATTTGTATTGTGTCTCGTTAAGCTGTGAAAAATTGTTGCTCTTATGCTTGGCCGTTTGAGTCAGTGTGCTTCTGAAGGAACAGACTGATATAGAATATAAGTATGTGAAACATATTTCAGTATTTTCAAAATACTGTTGTTTATTTTGATACTTTGCTTGGTGGCAATATTTTGCAGTTTGATACACTTATAAATAGAGTATTTTGTATCAAAATACATTTTGATGTATTTTTGCAAATCTCCAGTCAAAGTTATGTTACCTGGAGGAAATGGATGTGATCCTGTATGCGTGAAAGCTGCTCCATCTCAGAGTGTCTCCTCTTCAGTTCATTAATCTCCTGCTCCACTCTCTCCATGTAGTCTTCAACCTGACTCACTGCAGCCTTCTCCTGATCTCTGATCAGCTCTGTTACCTTAGACCGTGTTCTCTCAATGGAGCTTATCATCTCAGTGAAGATCCTCTCACTGACCTCCACTGTTGACTGTGCTGAGGTCTGTTGGTGACACAGGGAGCAGAGGACGGTAAATTACAATTGGCCCCTTTTGAGACTCCAGAGAGCCTCATTGTACAATAGTGATGTGAGCTGACTGGAGGTATAAAAACAGCACAGGGCTGGGGTTTGGAGCGTCACGATGCTGGATGCCTCAGGTACTGAAACCCAGCCAGCACTGATTGGAAATGATCCCTCATTAAGCTCATACACTGTCAGCTGCAGGGATTTGGCAGAGACTGGTGGCTGTATGGGGCTGGTTGGTTGTCACCATTGGGTCTGAGTTTAATATGTGACTTTTTGGGATTGATATCTGTTACACTGGTGTATGAAACTTTGCTATTTGTTAGGAAGAATATTATTTAAAGGACATTTGAGAAAGACCTTCCATTTAGATTAACCCCCCTGTTCAGCACCTTTGTCCCTCCCCTGTGGGAAATCCCTGACTCATTATAACTCACAGTGAATTTAATTTACCATAAACCACTCAAGTCACCCATCTGTGGAAGANAAATATATAAACTATAAATATGAATATAAACTCTAAGCTAGCGTGGAAATTGTGCAATTAGTTAAGGAGGTATTCAGAATATGTGCAAGTATTGCAACAGCAGAGAAACATATTTCAATACTGGGAATGTAATTTTGTGTGCAAATGATTAGTAGCAGTTCAACATGATACAAGGACAGTATTTTTTTTTTTAAATGCAGTTTTACACAGTTGTTTTTGTGCATGTAGCAGCATGTGCATTTTAAACAGTGATGTGTAAAGTGCAGATGTGTAAAGTCACAGTAAAGTCACGGTTCACAGTTCAGGTGTGAGTGTGGGTGGGGGTGGGAGGGCAGGCAGCACGATGAGGAGTCTGACGGCTTGTGGAGAAGCTCTCACAGTCTGGTCGATCGGGCTTTGATGCTGCGGTAGCGTCTGCCAGATGGGAGTAGTGCAGAGAGTCCGTGTGGGGGGGGAGGAGTCCAGCACGATGCGGGAGGCCTTTCTGATGCAGCGCTTGTGGAAGATCTCCTGCAGTGAGGGGAGAGATGCCCCGATGATGTTACCAGCGGCTTTAACGATCCGCTGCAGGCTCTTCTGGTCAGCAGCACTGGCACTGCCGAACCAGACGGAGATGCAGCTGGTCAGGACGCTCTCTATGCTGCTTCTGTAGAACACGGAGAGGATGGGAGGAGGGAGGTTGGCCCGCTTCAATCGTCTCAGGAAGTGGAGACACTGGTCACATTTAGTAGGAGATTTTCACGGCATGAAAACCATCTCAGGAAATATCACAGTTTCACGGTATATGGGATTTTGGAATTATTATTATTATTGTTATTATTATTATTATTATTATTATTATTACTATTAGTAGTAGTAGTAGTAGTATTTGTGGTAGTATTTTCACTTACAATGACCCTTAAAGTAATCAAAACAGAAGGATTTTTTGGTTGAAGAAAATGCTTTATTATAGCTAAAACTTAAAACAATTTTTAAGTGTGTCTAAAAGGTGTCCCTTTTGAGAATAAAATACATCAAATAATTACAAAAGCAGTACATCTCCCATTTGAACAAAAGAAAGCTGGAGGAAAAAAAGAAACAGGGATCTTTAAAAAGGTAATCTCTCTTTAGATAATAATAATAAAAAAAGTCAATGAAAGTTGTTATTCAGCTTAATATACTGTTATAATCCATAAAACATGAAACTGTTGAGCTAAATATACATTATCTAATAGAACATGTCCGTTATACTGCCCAGCTAAATGTGAACTTTTTATATGATAACTAATAAAAACACACCTGTTAAAACATTCATACACATATTTTATTGATATAAAC